AAAAAAAAAAAAATTACTGCGAATTAACCAAGAATATGCTTACAATGATGTGTACACTTATCAAAAACTCAAAATCTTGGATTCCATTGAAAGAGGAGTCTTGTTTTTTTTTCTTAAAAAAACAAGTCAAGTCATTTCACAAAATTGGAGAATAGGGCCGGGATAGGATTCGAATCCCTGACTCTGCTCTAGCAGAGGATGGTAGGTACCATCTCATCTGTGGTGAGTTGGCGAAAGAGAGAAAGTGATTGAGTCTTACACGAGCTGCTTCATTTATTTGTGAAGAGGGGTGAACAACTACAGAAATCCGGGTTCTTAACTAAATAACAAGTGGATCTTACCTAGAAGCTTTTAACTCATGAAGAATACTAAATGGAAAAGATTATATTACAAGATTTTCTACTAAAATACAGAGTGAAAAGTAAAGGGAAAAAACAACCACTTGGAAGTACAAATCAACTCACTTGGTTATCAATCAGGTTAAAAGCTTTCTTCAGTATTCTTGTTCTATTGCGGTCCTTCTCAGCAACTTGTTTTACAAGCTACAAAGAAAAGTACGGTTAGAAACTTTCAAGTTTTTAAACATGAAACCACACAAACATTTTGAAGGCCATCAATCATGTAAAAATACAAAGTGTGTGTATATAACTATACATCCGGACTGCATATCCAGCTGCTATTCCTTTACATATGAATTCACTACTTTCTTTATTCCAAAGCCAAACCGAATAGATTATGATATATTATGATAAAACATTGAAAAAGCATGGGAGTCTATCTTTGAAGGTACTGCATCCAATGAAAGGTGGCCCTTCCATGCTAACAAAAATTGTAGGAAACTTCAACCCATCTTGCATGCCATGATTATGAAATGCTATTCGACCAATTTATCCATTTAATCAGGTTGGTACATCAAATATGGTACTTCAGTTGATAGGGTACTACGATGGAGAGGTTTCACTTGCTCTAATGTGTTGCTTTCCTGAGCATCACTGTAAGTTCGTGGATGGCCTCTGCTCTAGTGGGGTAAATTGATATTCTACCACTTCCTTACTCTTCTGCATGGCTTTACCATGGGATTGCATGCCTTCATTGTTGTTACAAACTTACAATTAAACCACCATGAACCAAAACATATCAAACTATTGCAAACTACAATAGGTGGACTAATGAAAGACAGAAAATAATTAGCTCTTGCAGCAAAAATTAAGATCTTCAAAATTAAGCACCCATCATTTTAAGAGCATGCTTGGATATGGATTTTCCAAAAAAAAAAAATCCAATCATTTTTAACCAATCACTTTTTTCAACTCAACTATAACTCAACCCCACTATCCTCAATATTATATTCATAAAATTGGAACGATACATCAACTTTAATTCACTATTCATCTACTCACATAATTTTAACTAATCATCACTTCACATCCTCTCTCTCCTACTTTTACATCAAATCGACTTTAATTATTTTATTTTAAATTTAACTTTTAATTAAACTCAAAATCCTAGTTACTACATACCATACCACCTTTTTCGAAATTAACAAAATAAAATAAAAAATTCTTATATCCAAGCATCCCCTAAAATTTGTGTCATTTGCATTCTCTCTACTAAGATCACTGCCACAGTGCCACAACAATCTCATGCTAGGGAGACTTGAAATTCACTATGAAACCTCCAGTGTGAAACAATGAAAATTCATCAAGCAAACTGTGAGTCCAAAGGCTTTCTAAGCCACCTAGCAGGATACAAACAAACCGCGGTAGACAGCTCATTTGGTATGAATCAACTTGACCAACTGTATATATTTTTTCAGTCCACAAGTTCAGTGACTAAATACTTCCTCCTAATTCCTTAACCCAAGAAGGCAGTTATCTTTAATCTTAAGCTCTAATAACATGGATGTTTTAGCAAATACTATTACCTTATTCTTCAATATTATTCAAATGCTTGATGGAGAAAGTAACTACAGCTACATTTAATAAAAGTCAATATGCAGAAGTGTACCTCATTCTTAAAGCTATCGTATACGACGGCAAGAATCAAATTGGTGACAAAGTAAACGCCCAATAGCACATACAGAACAAAGAATAGGCAATACCAACGTGAGGCCCTACAAAGATAAAGAGGACCAACATCGATTATAATATCACCATTTTCTTCAGTATGCAAGGACAACAAGGAATTACAAACAAGCATACACACACAGAGGGGGCGCCACAATATTCATTCCTCAGGGCAACTTACTTGTATGCAGGAATCCAGACATCTGGATTGTTGGACGTGGTGAATAAAACAAACATCTGGTATAATGTTTCACCATATGAAGTGAATAGTGTCCTTCCCTGTACAGTATCTTCAAAGATAACATAAGCCAACCAGCTC